GAAACCGCCATCGCCAACTGGTCCTCCTTTAAAACCCTCGTAACTGAAGCGTTCGGCCGACCAGATGTCCGCAAGCTCCGCGCTGACCAGCGTCTGCGTCACAGAGCCCAGCAGCCTGGCGAAATGTTTACGAGTTACATTGAGGATGTGCTCAACCTCTGCAGGCGTGTTAACCCATCTATGCCCGAAGAAGAGAAAATTCGGCAGATTCTCAAGGGCATCGAGGATGGTGCATTCCAGATGTTGCTAGCGAAAAGCCCGACCTTGGTGGCAATCCTCGTAAGCCTGTGCCAGAGCTTTGATGAATTACGCCGTCAGCGTTCCATCGCCCGACAGAGTGTCTCACCAACAGATTTGATCTCGGCTGTCGCACTCGCAAATGCCAACGTTCGCCAAGAAAGTCTGTCCAACCACATCAAAGACTTCATCAGGGAGGAAGTCGCCCGACAGCTCTCCCTGCTGCCGCATAGCGACGCGCCCACCGCAAGTCTGCCTTCGACACTGCAGCAGGCCATACGCACTGAAATTTGCGATGTCCTACCTACAGTGCAGGCCCCTTACGCATGCACTTCAGCAGCATCTATTCTCTCAGCTGTCAGCTACGCAGCGCCTGTACCATCTTCACCTCTCAGCTACGCAGCTGTGGTTGCGCGACCCCCACCGCATCCAGTATCCTTTTCGGCTCCACCTCCTCCGGCAGCGCCTCCGGTTTACAGGCCCTCATCTCGCTTTTTCCGTCCATCTAATGAGTGGCGCACCCATGACAACCGTCCTATCTGCTTCGCGTGTGGCATCTCTGGCCACATTGCCCGCTACTGCCGCCGCCGTCCCACACCTGCGTACGCATCCTTTGGAACTCCTACCTATGCGTCGCAGCAGGCCACCACGTCTGCATACGAACAGAGGCCCTCTGACTCGGATCTTCGCCCATCAACTTCTCGTTTCTCATCTCCTCGTCGCCGATAGCCATCTCCTATGCGTCGTAGACCACCTCCTGAGGAGGGAAACTAATCAGTGCAGTTCCAGAGGCAAGAACTGCAACTTCTGCGCAATTATCAAAGCCTCCATTTTCGCCGCAAAATGTTGTTGATGTCAATGTTGAGGGAGTCGCCACACAAGCGTTAATTGATACTGGGGCCACCGTTTCTGTGACGAACGCAAAAGTTTGTCGCAAACTGAAGAAAGTGACCACATCTGTCTGTGGCATCGTGCTGTCCACGGCTAGCGCGCAACGCATTCATCCCTCGGCTGTGTGTACGGCGCGCGTCGTCATCCAAGACGTTTTGTACATCGTCCAATTTTTTGTACAACCATCTTGCTCTCATGACCTCATCCTGGGTTGGGATTTCTTCTCAGGTCATGAAGCTACCATCGATTGTTGCCGTGGGGAAGTGTCCCTAGTGCCAAGTTGTCAATTTCCATCGCCCGACCATTCACCAATGCTCTGCAAACTCATCGCTGACGACGACATCACCTTGCCTCTGGAAGCTTCAGTCCTATTAGCCTTTCATGTGTGGCGCAACCTGACGCAACGGTGGTGTTTACGCCATCCCCTGTTTTTACTGAACGCAAGGGCATCGTGCTCCCATTTGCCGTTCTTACAATTGCGTCTGGTTTAACCGTAATGCTGGTTACCAACCACTGCAACTACCCCATTGGCTTGCTTCGTGGTGAAACGTTAGGATATGTGCAACCTGTCAACCATATCAATGATATTATTCTTCCCGACGAAACGCCATGTCACATTGCCGCAATCACTCAGTCGTCTGAGCCATCAAGCTCGCCAGCCTTCGACAATGCCATTGACGCAGACCTTCCCCCCCTCGCATCGCAGCCAACTTGTTGCTCTCCTTAACAAGTTTCGCTCTTCTTTCGACTGTCAGAAACCTGCTTTGGGCCGCACCACGACTGTCACTCATACTATTGACACCGGCTTACATTCGCCTCTGCGACAGCGTCCTTACCGCGTTTCTGCCGAAGAGCGCCACGTCATTACGGAGCAAGTAGATGACATGCTTAAACGTGGAGTCATACAGCGTTCTCAAAGCGCTTGGTCGTCACCCGTGGTTCTGGTAAAGAAAAAAGATGGCACCGTTCAATTTTGCGTGGACTATCGCCGCTTAAACAGGATTACAAAGAAAGACGTCTACCCGCTACCACGAATAGACGATGCTCTTGACTGTGTACAAGGCGCCGAGTACTTCACATCCTTGGATCTGCGTTCTGGGTATTGGCAGGTGCCAATGGCTGAATGTGATCGCCCTAAAACAGCCTTTGTAACGCCGGATGGCCTATATGAGTTCAAAGTCATGCCATTTGGGCTCTGCAACGCGCCTGCGACGTTTGAGCGCATGATAGATACCATATTGCGGGCCCACAAGTGGAAAACTTGCTTTTGTTACCTTGATGACATCGTAGTCTTTTCAGCTGATTTCCCGACACATCTTCGTCGTCTCCACGAGATTCTGACGTGTCTAGCTTCTGCAGACCTACAACTTAACACCAAGAATTGCCACTTCGCCGCCCGAAAACTAACCATCTTGGGACACGTCATCACAAGAGACGGTGTTATTCCGGACCCCGATAAGCTTCGAGCTGTCGCTGACTTCCCAATGCCCACATCACTGAAAGCCCTAAGAAGTTTCGTTGGTCTTTGCTCTTACTTTCGTCGCTTCGTGCGCAACTTCACGTCCATCATCGCACCTCTGACTTGTCTGCTTTCCAACAGCAAAGGTATATCTGCATGGTGACCTGCATGTGACGACGCATTTCACCAGCTGCGCCGCCTGCTGACCTCGCCACCTATTCTTCGCCACTACGACCCCACTGCTGCCACAGAAGTTCACACTGATGCAAGTGGCGTTGGTCTTGGCGCAGTTTTGGCACAACGGAAAGGCACCCAAACCGAATACGTAGTCGCTTATGAAAGTCGCGTTCTTAAGAAGGCTGAATTGAATTACTCCGTGACAGAGAAGGAGTGTTTGGCCATAATCTGGGCGCTTACGAAGTTTCGCCCGTACCTTTACGGCCGTCCTTTCGACGTCGTCACAGACCACCACGCTCTATGTTGGCTGTCCACCTTGAAAGACCCGTCCGGACGTCTGGGGCGTTGGGCACTTCGTTTGCAGGAATGCGACATCCATGTCGTATGTCTTTCCGGTCGCAAGCATGCGGACGCCGATGCACTTTCCCGATCGCCATTAACACCAGGTGTGGCTTCTCTGTCACCCCCTTTTACCACCTTGTCACCACTCGACACCACTGACAAGCTTTCGGAGCAGCGTAAAGACCCATACCTTGCCTTGTTAGTCGACTACCTTACCGATCCATCTGCTGTCCCTTCCACGAGAGCGCTACGCCGGCAAGCAGCCCACTTTTCCTTACGAGACAACATTCTGTACCGCCGCAACTACATGCCTGGTGGTCGGAAGTGGCTCCCTGCTGTCCCAACTCATATGCGTTCTGACATCTGCATGAATTTCCATGAAGATACCCAAAGTGTTCATGCAGGTGTCCTGAAAACCTACGAAAGGCTGCGCCAACGATAGCACTGGCAAGGAATGTATCGTTTTGTGCAGAAATACGTTCAGTCTTGCACCACTTGCCAACAGAACAAGACACCTCCGCGGCACCTTACTGGCATGTTACAGCCGCTCCCGTGCCCGGCTCGCCCATTCTACCGCGTGGGTATAGACCTCTATGGCCCCCTACCATATAGTAGCTTTGGAAACCGGTGGATTATTGTCGGAGTCGATCATCTGACACGCTACGCTGAGACTGCAGCTCTACCGGCAGCGACCGCCCACGAAGTTGCACTCTTCATTCTCCGCAGCTTCATTCTACGCCATGGTGCTCCACGGGAATTACTCAGTGATAGGGGTCGAGTGTTCCTGTCGGAGGTCATCCAAGCTATCCTCGCTGAATGCAACATTATCCACCGGAAATCTACTGCATACCATCCACAGACAAATGGTCTTACTGAGCGGTTCAACCGCACACTCGGCGACATGCTGAGGATGTACACCTCCTCTGACCACACTAACTGGGACGCTGTATTGCCCTTTGTTACCTTCGCTTATAACACCGCGACGCAAGCGACTACCGGTTTTCCCCCGTTCTTTCTATTGTACGGCCGCGAACCTTCCCACCCACTCGACACTATACTCCCGTACCGCCCTGACGCATCTGAGTGCTCCCCGCTTTCGGAAGTCGCCAGATACGCTGAAGACTGCCGTCAGTTGGCTCGCTCTCTGACAAGTGAGGCTCAAGGTCTACAAATGACTCGACACGACGACGCTCACCACATAGCTCCTACATTTCGTGCTGGCTCCCTTGTGTGGCTTTGGGTGCCACCGCACGTTCCTGGCCTGTCTTCTAAACTTCTGGCCCGGTACCATGGTCCGTACCGTGTCATTGACGCGACCTCCCCGGTGAATTACATCATAGAGCCATTAACACAATCACCAGACTTGCGCTGTCGAGGACGCGAGGCTGTCCACGTCGACCGTCTCAAGCCCTACTACGACCCCCTCATTGTGCCTACTCCTTGAGTCGCCAGGATGGCTACCGTTCACCCCGGGGGTATTGTAGTGGAGCATACGCACCAACGCGTATGCGCCTTCGAAAGGCAACGAAAAGCCCGTGCTCTGCTTGCGCGAGTGTTTGTGCCGCCTTTGCCAGACCTACCGTACGCCCACTTTCCGTTGCGACCTCGTTGCGACTTCTCTGCTCGAGTAAATGCCATCACACAATCAATACTTAGATTTGCCAAGCAAGTGATTAGACGCAGAGAAGTCTTAGTTGCCAGTTGATGCACTAACAGAACACGAACATACTAACATACTACTGACTCATTTTAATAAATAGATAACAAAATTCGTCAGATTTTTGTGCGTGCTGTAATATCGGGCAAATTTTTTTTCACAAAGCCCTACAGTATGTAGGCAAATACTAGGTAGTTTTGTTGAGCGAAAAGTATGAAATAACTTGCTTTGTGCAACTTTGACACTTTATGATTTTATTTGACTCAGTTTCGGGTTCTGCTTCTGCTTCGGCTCCGGCTTCTACTTCGGGTAATTGGCTGACACGTGCCTTCTCTTGTCATTTGAGACCTCGCATTCATGGTACATTTGCATCCAGTAGAGCACATTGTGCCGGACCTTCCACACTGAAATGAAAAAGATATACTCAATATTTACAATAGTATTACGCTGAACGTTGACTGACATTCAATGCAAGCTACAGAAGCTCAAACTAATAGTAAGAACGTATTCATGTTGCCCCTCCCTGAATGATTGATTGACATGCGGGATTTGACGTCTCAAAACCACCATATGATTATGAGAGACGCCGTAGTGAAGCGCTTCGAAAATTTTTACCACCTGGGGTTCTTTAACGTGCACCCAAATCTAAGCACACGGGCCTACAGCATTTTCGCCACCTGCATCGGAAATGCAGCTGCCACCGGCGGGATTTTATCCCGCGACCTGCTGGTGGTCAGCAGCCGAGGACCTAAGCCCCTAGACCACCGCGGCGGTGCTGCCCTTCCCTGTCTTCATCAAGGTTCCGCACTGCTTTTTTTTAATATGCGTTGCACCCTGAGGTGCGGTTTTGAAATAGTGTGCTTTTCATTGACCATTTGTTTGTCTTTATTTTTTGTTCAATACGTCAATGATTAAAACCACCCAAAGCATCAGACTTAAGCTTTTGCGTAGCAGTTTATTGCACAAAAAAGTTGCAAATACAGTGTCACTAAATGGCAGCATGAATCCGTCACAAAACTTTCATACAGACAATGTAATAAAGAGGGAGACTGGAACCTTAATGCTGAGAATTACACATGCTATAATAAGTAGTTTTTACAATTTGCATAAAACAAGATTAAGTATTATTTTAAACAGATTCATCAAGTGCTTTAATGGAGACAAAGATTTAGCACTGACGCTTAGAGGCATACTGCTTTTCCGAACTGTTTGTTAAAAAAGAATATATAGTAGACTACACTACAGCCTATAAAGTGGACTGCACTCCTAGATACAGCGATGACGTAGTGGTTATAGCAAAAGGTCTGTGGCTGGAATTTCAGGGTGAGGAAGGCATTGCATTGCCAGAGGAGAGTTGTCTGTAAAATTTGCCGAACGCAGTAGTTTACGGATCTTCAATACCTTCGACCAAAAGCGAGTGAACCTGTAGTGGACATGGAGGAGCCCTAATGGCGAAAGTAAAAACGGCAACGACTATATACTAAGCGCACACCTAAGTAGTGTGCAGAATGTAGATATGCTTAGGAAGATATGATGCAGTGACCTCTCGAATTCGTCTAGAGTTGAAGAAGGAACGAGAAAAACTGATACTCAAGAAGCACTGGGAGGGAAAGTACAGGAACTCAGTCTTGCTTAAGAACAGATAATCAGCTATTATTGAGGAAACCAGCCTTACCATTGACGCAATCAATGATAATATGACGACTGTCATTATGGAGTTTGCAGTGGAAGTTGGCGGTACGTTATTTAAACAGAACACAAGCAAGCAGTCCTAGGACATGAAGAACCTCATTAGGAAGCAGCAGAGCATGAAAGCCTCAAATACAACAGACATACTAGAACTGGCAGAGCTTTAGAAGTTTATTGATAGGTGTAAGGTATTTGGTGTAAGTAGGTACAACCTAGAGATAATCTAACATGCACTAAAGAATGGAAACAGCGTCAAAACGAATTATTGATATGTGAGGTTTAACTTTCCTAAACCACTATGTGATTATGAGAGACGCCGTTGTGGAGGTCTTCAGAAATTTCGACCACCTGGGGTTCTTCAACGAGAACACAAATCTGAACACATGGGCCTACAGCGTTTTCACGTCCATAAAAAATGCAGCCGCCACAGCTTAATTTGATCCAGCGACATGCCGGTCTCCAGCCGAGTACTTTAGCCACTAGACCACTGCGGTGGGGCTCAAAGCGGGGAAGAAGAAACTTAGTATAGCCAAAGCCATATGTACGCACTAAAGCACAAGGAAGGCAAATTACCAATATGAATTGAATAGCTAAAAAGGCGGAGGAGTTTTACACATATCTGTACAGTAGTCGGGACAACGACGACTACATTGGAAGAACTAACAGTAACCCAGTCGTCCTCTCACCAGTAATTACAGAAAATGTCAGGAAAGCATTGGAGAGAATGCAAAGAGGCAAAGTTGCTGATGGAGATCAGGTAACATCAGATCTGCCGAAAGATGAAAAAAAGATTGTTTTAGGAAAACTAGCCACACTGTTTACGAAGTGTTGTCTTACTGAAAGGACACCAGAAGCTTGGAAAAGTGCCAACATCGTCTAACCAATCAGAAAAGGAACAATTAAGGCTTGAAGAATTACAGGCCGGTCAGCTTGCCGTCCGTTGTATACAAGCTATTTACAAAAGGTGAGGCCAACTAAATTAAGCCAACATTAGAATTCAATTAACCAAAGTAAGAAGCAGGATTTCGAACAGGCTTTTCAACAATAGACTACATTCGTACTATCAATCAGGTAATAGAGAAATGCTCAGAATACAGCCAGCCACTACACATAGCCTTCAAAGATTAAGAGAAAACGTTTGATTCAGTTGAAATGTCAGCAGTCATGCAGAGACTGCGGAATCAGGGGGTCGGCGAAACGTATATAAACATTCTGGAAGAAATATAGAGCGGATCAACTGCCACATTAGTGCTACATGAAAAACAAAATAATACCAATAAAGAAGGGTGTAAGACAAGCGCATATAATCTCCCACTGGTTCACTAAAAGTTACCTAAAGAGAATATGCATGGTGAAATTCGATTAGGGTGGCATGTTGCAGCTTCTCTTATTAGCCATTTGTATCGAGTGCTCGGGCAGTAATGAGCACTCGCGGTTTATGATCAGGATCGTTTCTATCAACGACACGCGACAGACATCGACTAAGACAGCCTTGATGGTATGATAAACTATCGCTCACCGTACTACTGGTTTATTGGAAGTGTTGAAAACTAACACGTCTATCTCTTTCACCAGAAGTCTTATAGATCTGGTGCTTTTCTCCAGTATAAAAAAAATGAAATTGTAAATCTTGGCTTCATATGCATGATACATGACTCTAGTGACTTAATATAACTAATGTCATCATTAGCAACATTATGAGCCTAATGAAATAGATAAAAACATGACGAGGTAGTGTGAATGAAAGTATAACTTTTCCTTTGCATACAGAGAAATATCAATGGGGAATAAATTCTATAATTCGTGTTAAAAGGGCACAAAAATAGTAAATAATAGGTTTTCTCACATGACCGAAACACTTTGCCATCTTTAAGGTAGCCTCCGATCTGCAGAAAATAATGAGAACAGAAAAAACATGAGCAGTTTAGTACTTGAAACGCTTAAATTGCAGAGAATGCAACTATTCAAGCTTGTTGTATGTAAGCATTGGCGTGCCCAGGGTTTCCTTTCATGAGTTTCAAGGAGGGGGAAGGCTAAGGTTAGTCGCAGTGCTCCCTTTTTCCTTATCAAGTCAATGTTTTGGGGAAACTTTGCACAACGCTCCCTTTTGTCAATGTACGGGGATGGTTTCGCGCCCCCGTCTTAGCACGATCGCATGTTTATGCATGTAAAGATATCAGTCATACAAGCTCACACTTCTTGATCAATTCAAGGAGCAGTTACCGCGCTTCCCGTGTCATAATAATTACTTCATGCGCAGGTTACTACTGCTATGACGCTAAATTATTTTCACCAATACAAGAAATAGCCATATGTGGTATGTTTGGAAGCTTCGTATTAAATATAGCCTACAATCATCCTAGCACAACCAAGCAAATATTTCAGATAAATATTGATGTCAAGTGTTGATCACCGAAGAAACCTTGAATGCATTTCATAAGTATGTGAATAATTGAACATATTGCTTGTTTTCCTTTACTATGGTTTGTAGTGTTCGTTTATCAGAGCCAATTATGCATAATCTTTTGTAACCTTCGCATAGAGGGAGATAAGCAGGATGAACAGTGGAAGTGTCTCAGATAGGCTGGCTGACGTTTCATAGGAGAATCGTGGAAGGAAGGTCCCTTGTCTTCGTTGGTGTGTTTGTTCTAAGAAGGTTAATTTTTCCGTAATAAAGAGTCTCTCTTTCTCTCTTTAAGGGGCATAGTAGTGACGTTATCTCCTGTGGTGGCGCGTATCCCTGTTGGTAATCGACACCTGGAAATGAAAAACATACCAATCAAAAGAGTGCTGCCCTCACTTTTTTTCAAGTTAGATGCAGTGATACAAAAAGATTTCTTCTCTGGTATAAGCAGAGGAGGGGGGGGGGACGAAAGAATTCACAGCATATCCATGGAGTGAATTATTATGAGTGGGGCCAAGAGTCCATCCGTCCATCCGGTTATCTGTCTGTCCGTCCGTCTGTTTGTCAGTCTGTCTGTTCGTTCGTCAGCGCCATTTGCCCTGTGTAATCTCAACTATATATATACAGAAACCACTAACGCCACCTAGTGATATTATTTCCATGGACACAGAACGCCATCTAGATCAATTTATAAACTAGGGGTGCCTACATAGGTATGATAATACATACAAACGGAGGAAATAAAGACCCACATCCTAAGGAGCCTCATCTTTAAAAAAAGGTCAACAGCAAAATAGGAGCGCTGTGCTACAAAGCGGGAGCCGGTGTACAGACACGAACGAAGGAAAGGCCATCAAACTTCGAAACTGGCAGACGGGTAACGTGTCCAGCCGTCGCTAAGGATTGCTGACAGTAGCGGCATACGCCTATATTGCTAAACACCTATGAATGGAAAGCACAACAACAAAGAAGCTACAAGAAGGGGGAGAAGCAGGCGGCGTGCATTTAATTACCGAATTGTGGACAGTAAGCGATACTGGAGAGGGTCTCTGAAGAGCAAGTGTATAATGGGGAGGTAATTTGCGAAAATAGGTTTTTAGTGGCACCGTATACGTATTTTTTCTCTACTTGGGTACGTCACACCGTGCTGTCACCGACGCACCCGCAAAGTGGTGGTAGGCAAAATACCCACGATGGTGCCTCGACGTGGTACAGTCGCACAGCACTTAGGAAAAGCTTTTTTTTTTGAAGCTTAAAATCCAGCTTACTGTTGTAAGAATAAATGTGGTATGGGCCAGGGATCATCTAGGTAGGTGGTAAACTTTGTGACAAAAAAAGTTGGCAGATACCACGTTCACTGGGAATCAATTGTATGCGAAGTACGAATGAGAAATATAGATACGTCACTTTAAAATCAGGACAACATTACGAGGTGGAGAAAAAATATGCCGTACATGACATCCGTATCATGATTATCATGTTCGAATGTGTCGTTTACCTTCGTCACCTATTCACGACACGTGAAACCAAATTTAGTATATGTTGAGCTAGCGAAACGGCCGCAAGCACGCTATGAGCGTGGTATACTGTCATGTCCTTACATGACACGCGTGTCAGGATTATCATGTTTGCACTGGTCATATATTTTGTAATCCATTGACGTCACGTAACACCAAACTTCCTACATGTGGAGCTAGCCAAACGGCCACGAGCGCATCATGAAGGGCCCAATATACTCCGATGTAGCGTTGACGCGTGCGCACGCTGGGCACAGCCATGCTACGTTAGCAAAACGTGAACACTCTATAGTCTGACGCCAGGCGCGACCAGCGTCCGGCGCGGCTCGAAGGCAAATGGCACAAAATGCAACATGCAGCATTTTGCGCCAATGTGTTACCCAGACAACACTGCGTCTCCCTCTTTTCGGGACGGAGGGACGCCGGATGCGCTGAAATGCGCATGCGTCAATGAAATGCAGCGCAGCGCGCGCCTGCTAGTATACGGCAGGACTGGCGCCTGGCGTGGCAACACCAGCGTGACGCGACCAAATGAACGCCGGCTAGCACGTGCACCGCGTCACGTCGAAATATATTGGCGCCTTGGCTGTGGCATGTCGTCAAGTTCTGCCATTACACACATCTCATGATTATCATGTTTGTACCAGTCACGTATCTTCGTCATCCATTGACGTCACGTAATACCGAGTTCGGCATGTGTGAAGCTAGCGAAACGGCCGCGAGAGCATCATGGGTGTGGGATGTAGTCATATTGTTGTGTGACACGCATCTGATGTTTATCATGTTTGCACCAGTGTCATACCTTCATCATCCATTCATGTACTGTAATACCAAATTTGGTATATGTGACGCTAGGGAAACGGCCGCGAGTGCATCATGAGCGTGGCATGTATTCATGTTGTTACATGGCACGCATGTCATGATTTTTATGTTAGGGTTTGTCGCTTGTGTTCGCCATGCAATCTTCTCATACCATACCAGTTTTGCAACATGCCATGTGAACGAAACCACCGATAGAGGTGCCGGACCATGAATTGTAAATCATGACATTCAAGACATACATGTCATAATTTTCATGTTACGACTAGTCAAATATGTTCTTCGTACAGTCATGTTATGCCATACCAAGTTTGGTATTGATAGTATTGTCGAAATTCCCAGGATAGCTAAATGTCTTAGGTGGCTAGATCGATATATAGTTACACTCAATGTCGCCGAAGTTCGCTAAGAAATGCTTCGCATATAATACTCGCTACTCAGGCTGGCTGTTTATTGTTGTTGTTGTTGTTCTCCTATTGTTAGTGGCGCATACCCACTGTGGGGGATTGGCCAAGAATCGAGTGGTTTTAAAATTTACTGTTTAGATTTGGAATGATGGAGGTTTAGCAGAAAGATTACCGATAGCCTATAGGCAAGTGTGGTGCTTAAAATGCAATGTATACAAATATTTACATAAATTTATTTTTAGAATAGAGCAATCATCTGATTTTATACGTATATAATTAGGTGGACATGTTAAGATAATAAAACTGGTTATTTAGTCAACCTATTAGTTTCATCAATATAGTCCCGGATGGCCGCGCATACTGTGCCATTAGAGAAACCAGAAATGGAAGCTCCAAAAGACAAAATGACAGGCAGAAAAGTCCATACCAAAGCCACGCAAAGGTATTTCTAATAGGGTTTTTCGCAATGTGTTAAACCGCCTGCAGGTCAAAAAGAAATGGTCTATTGTTTCCAGTTCATCACAGAATGCGCACAGTGGCAAAGGTGCCTGAGCAGACCTGTGTTTATAGAAATTTAGATTTGGTACCCGGCAACGCAGCCTTGTGATAGCTACTTCTTGCTTTCGAGTGCGGCAAAAGTCTCTTCGCCAGGGATATAATAAATGGCGATATTCTGTAGAGTTCGTTGGTGCTGAAGCTTTAAAGACTTGCATAAGCATACGTCTGCGGAATCGAGCAGCAGTCACATAAGCGGATGATGGACAGAGCGGTAGAATTGGTTCGCTGATTGACGACTTAGCTAAGGAATCGGCTATTTCATTCAGACGCAAACCTTTATGTCCAGGCACCCAAACTAACCGCACTTTTCTCAAATGCACAGATACTAGTGCACGGAACGCCCTTGTTACATGATTATCAGCACCAACAGAAAGTGCTGCACAGAGAGATAGGGAATCTGTCATTATGACAGCTGATGTAATTGCTGTATCTAACTTGCGTAAGGCAAGCACTACTGCCAGAAACTCAGCCACAAAAACGGGTATGAAATCGGGTAGTCGAAGGGAAGAAATCCAATTTAAAATCGGGCTGAAACTACCAACCCCTGACTTTTCGTCGTATTGCGATGCGTCTGTAGCAATAATAACGTTCGTTGTAATACGGCGCAGGTGATCTTGTAGTAAACCATTCAAAATATTATGGGGAAGTAATTTGGCATTATTAGGAAAAATGTCGTCGAATTCAATTTCCACCGGGGCTAAATTATAACGTCTCGGCATGATGTCGCATATACGTATGTTTAGAGGCTCCAGTAAATTTTGCACAAAAATAATTTGTGGCGTGTGAAATCGCGGCTATCTAGCAGCAAAAAAATGATTCCGGGGTGGAAATAAAGGCTGTTTTTGAATGTCGTAATGGTGATTCATAAATTTTTTAAGAATCGGTGGTCTAGTGGCTAAGGTACTCGGCTGCTGACCCGCAGGTCGCGGGTTCAAATCCCGGCTGCGGCGGCTGCATTTCCGATGGAGGCGGAAATGTCGAGGCCCGTGTGCTCAGATTTGGGTGCACGTTAAAGAACCCCAGGTGGTCAAAATTTCCGGAGCCCTCCACTACGGCGTCTCTCATAATCATATGGTGGTTTTGGGACGTTAAACCCCACAAATCAATCAATCAATCAAATTTTTAAGAATGTCTGAACAGTCAGAAGGCGAATTCTACAAGAAAGCGGAGGGACCCTCGAT